TTTTTCACAGTCTTGTGGAGCTCTAACCACCTGGATGAGTTAACAGGGCACATATGTGTGTGTTTATGAAGTGGGGGTGTGTTGACAATAAATTAGCCTGACTCTTTGCTTGATCCTATACACAAATGAAAAACTGATTAACCAGATGACTGCAAGGCCTATTATTTTGGCTAATCAATAGATCCTTGAATAAGTAATGAAGAACATCAAAGACTTAGTCTACAAACAGCCACAGGCAAGTGATGGGCTACGTTGTTTTTTTTTTATCTTTAATAAAAGCCCAAGCTTTTGTTGRAATATGATAATGCTTCTGTTCTTCTCTATTCATTTCAGCATTCACTGCAGGCAAAGAACAAGTATTAACTGAGTGAAGCTAAACTTAAAGGTTACAAAAGTGAGAACATAAAACTCAGTAATTAGTTATTTATGTTTTCATAAATGTTAGGGTTTTACAGTTATGTAAATATTTTGCAGTTTGTCAAAGCAAATGCTTTTCATTTGGTTCTGATGCAACAATCACARTCATAACTTGGCTGACCGGGACTTCTTTGTTTAATTAGACAATCATAAATCTGAGCAAATYTTTGAAAAATAATCACATTTGGGGTTCCTCAAGGCTCCATTCTTGGGCCCCTATTATTTTTTTACATGCTCCCCCTAATGTCAGATTATGGAGTCTTACAACATTTCTTACCATATTTATGCCAAATGAAACACATATTTATGTTTGTATTTCACCATATGACCATGTCACAGTATCAGTGAAAAGATGGGCCAGGATTGCCTCCAATTCAGTGTAGAAAAGACGAATTGACTGTTTTTGGTTCCAAACATGTAAGACTACAGATCAAAACAGAGCTAAAACCAGTGGTACTAAAATCTACAGAGTATGCCAGAAACATAGGTGTAATTACGGACCATAGGGGAATCACATAAGCACTGTTACTTAATCAGTCATCTAAGACATATTGCAACAATTAAGGGATTTATGTCAAATCATATATCCATTATCATCACTCGCTTCTTTCTTTCAAGATGAGGGTCACTGGTGCCCATATCCAGCAGTCACTGTGCAAGGGGCATGGTAAAACCTGGACAGATTGCAAGTCCATCACAGGGACACATAGAGACAAACGAGACAACTATTCTCTCTCTCACTTGCACCTAAGATTAATTTACCAATTAGCCTAACAGTCATGGTTTTGGTCTGTTGGAGGAAACTGGAGTACACAGTGAAAACTCACACATGCACAGAGAGAACAAGTCTCCAGCCAGGATTTGATCTGGCAACCTTCTCACTGAGAGGTAACAGCCACCGTGCAGCCCTCTGTTAAATCAGGAAACAAAAAAAAAACCTGCTCGTATTTTCAGTAAATCAAATAATTGGAATGAATTTTTTACAGGTGACAGTGTTAAAAAAAAAGATTGGATATGTTGTGGCCAGAGTCCTGACTAACACTTGAACAACACAACACATCTTACGATGATTGCCTGTATTTAAACATACCACCATGCTCTGAATGACTGTGAACTTTCACCAGAACGTGTTGCACCAGCTCTTAAAACTCTGAATTGGATTTTTGTTTGGGGAAAGAAGAAATTTTAAAATCCTGACATTGATCTGTTAGGCACTGAATGATCTCAGGCTGAAGTACTTCTGAAAAAGTTATATTTCTCAGATATGAACCATCAGTGTTTACTGAAAAAGACCCGACCTAAACAAAAGGAGGCAGCATTTAGTTTGTATGTTCCTCAACTTCTTTAATCTACTTCTTGACTTTCAGTGCAGATTTTTTGCTATTTCTTTATTTTTTTGTGTATTTTTAAGTATTTTCTTGTATCTGTAAGGCACATTGATTTCCCTTGTGTATGAATGGTGATATGCACAGAAACTTGCCTTGCCTCAGATCACATCTACTGTACTGTATGTCCATTTCTGTTTGCTGGTTCAAGGCAGTAAATGTTGAACCCAAGTTTGACTGAAAAAAATCATTTTTCTAACGTTACTGGAAAAACAAAGAGCTCCTGCACAGTTAAATCAACAAAGAGTGACAAGCTGTTCAAGTCTATTTTAATTAATGGATTTTGAATCAAATCACGCAGCAGACAGAGAATGGAGTCGAGTTAGAGCTGTGCTCGTAGTTATAATTTTGAAAATCTGTTCAGAAATTCCAATAATTAAAATCACTGTTATTATAAGATACCTGTGGAATAATAAAGTTGACTTTTTATCACAAAAACAAATGTTAATCAGTTTTATTTTGCTTTAAACAAATATATTTCTACAATTAATACAGGTTAAAGGTAATCACTGTGATGTAAGGACAAAAAGTTCCATCAAGTAAGAAACTAGTTTTTCTCACAGATCAAAAAATAGCTCCTTAAATTAAAAATGTGTCAGCAAAATTTGTGAACAGATAACAATTATCATGTGTGTTTCTTTGCTCATGGAAATTGACGAAGTGATGGTAAACAATGAGAAYGTCCATGGAAGAGCTGTTTGGATTAGAGAAGCCCAACAAATTTAATGTACAGGCACATTTTTGTTATGCTATGTTCACACTGCAGGCAATTATTCAAAACAGATACAATTTTTCCCTCTTTGTGACCCATATCTGATTTTCATGACATTCTAAACTTGACAAAATGACCATGTCGCATTTCATCCAACCTTTAAGTGAGTGACGTGGGCGTCCATCCATTCATTCTTTTTCTTCTGCTTTTCTGTGTTTGGGTTGCAGGAGTAGCAACCTAAGCAGAGAAGCCCAGATTTTCCTCTCCCCAGTGACTTGGGTCAGCTCCTCCAGGGGAATCCCAAAGTGTTCCCAGGCCAGCCGAGAAACATAGTCCGCCCATTGTGTCCCGGGTCTTCTCTGGGGTCTACGCCCAGTGGAACTTCACAGGTAGGTATCCTAACCTGATTCCCGAGCCACCTCAACTGGGTCCAGATGTGGAGGAGCAGCAGCTCTTTTCTGAGCCCCTCCCTGATGATCAAGCTTCCCACCCTATCTCTAAGAGAGAGAGCCCAGACACCCCGAGGACGAAACTGATTTCAGCCGCTTGGTTTTGTGATCTTGTTTTTAGGTCACTACCCAGAGCTTGCAACCATAGATAAGGGTATTGTAGACAGACAGGTGAATTGTTTTGCTTTTTGGCTCAGTTCTCATTTCACCACGACAGATCAGTACAGCGTCCACGTCACTGCAGACGCAGCACCAATCCGCCTATCGATCTCCTGCTCCATTCTTCCCTCATTAATGAACAAGAACCCAAAATACCTAAACTACTCCACTTGGGGCAGGGCCTCTTTCCCATTCTGGAAGAGGCACTGCCTCAAGAGCATGGTTTTGAATTTGGAGGCACTGATCCTCATCCTGGCCCCTTCATGAACTGCAATCTGCTCCAGCAAAAGATCACAATCTGATGAAGTCAATAGGACCACATCATCCTCAAAAAGCAGAGACACAATCCTAAGGCCACCAAAACAGATCCCCTCAACACCCTGGCTGCACCTAGTAATTCTGCCCTAAAGGTTATGAACAGAATCGTGACAAAGGGCAACCTTGGCGGAGTCCAACTCTCATTGGAAACAAGCCCGACTTACTGCCAGCAATGTGGACCAAGCTCTGACACCAGTCGTACAGGGACCTAACAGACCATATCAAAGGGCCTGGCACCCCATACTCCTGGAGTATGGGCACAGAACTCGCTAAGGGACACATTCAAACGTCTTAAGTCCACAAAACACATGTATACTGGTTAAGCAAATTCCCACACACCCTCCAGGACCCTGCTGAGGGTGTAGAGTTGGTTCAGTGTTCCACGACCAGGACGAAATCTGAGATTTGGCCACCTGGCAGACCCTCCTCTCCAAAACCCTTCCAAACCATGCCGCTCCAGATTTCACTGTCATTGCCCACGTGAGCATTGAAGTGCCCCAGCAGAACAAGGGAATYCCCATGAGTGCCGCTCTCCAGCACTTCCCTCCAAGAAGGATGGGCGCATAGGCACAAACAACAGCCAGAACCTGTCCCCCCCACACGTAGGCGGAGGGAGGCTACCCTCTCATTCACCGGGTTGAACGCCAACACACAGGCACCAATATGGGGGCAACAAGTATGCCCACTCCTGCTTGGTGCCTCTCAGAAGGGAAAACTCCAGAGTGAAAGTGTCCAACCCCTCTGGTTCCAAAGTCAGAGTCGTGCATTGAGGTGAGTCCCACAGGTGGTGAGCCAATGCGAAGGAGGACCAAAGTTTCACCTACCGTAGCCTTATGTTGAGTAAAGTATGCAGACATGTTTTTGTAACAATTTACAGTATATTTGAACAGACTTGAAAACACAGGGTTCTCTATTTCACCCATTTTTCTGAAGTTTAACGTGTTAGGGCACTAATGTTGCCAAAGTGAATTCTGTTGCCATAATTGCACAGTAGATTAACTCTTATAATCCCTCCTTTTTGATTCTACAATTGTCAGATTTCACCATAGAATCTACATGTTTTTCTGCAGATTGTTTACACTTGGTGCGATCCTGCATTTCAAAATCAGCATATCTAGAAAACTACTGGAGTACAATTTTTTATTGCACCAAGCTCAAGATAACCTTTTATAAGTTTAATTTCAAACTTTGAGAAGAGTACCTTTAAAGTCACTTCCCACAGCAAAAAATGTGAAGGCAATCATTCACCTGAGATTAACTGGTTTTAAAAACCCTCCTCATGGCGCCTGCTCAGCCGATCGCAACCACCACCACCCCACCCATAGGGACACCCCTACCCCGCCTCGAGCAAGCATCTGCAGCAGAGGGGGCTCAGGTCCTGCCAGATTTGTTGAACCCCCCGCCACCAGATGACTGTGAGTGCGCATTTCCAATTGGAAAGGGAGGGAGTGAGAAGTAAACCGAGGAGACCCAGCGGGGACGAGCGTGTGTGAGAGGGAGCGAGAGTGTGACAGAGTGTGGGGAGCAAAGGAGGTGGGGAGGGAGGGCGAGAGAGAGCGAGGGGGAGAGAGAGAGACACTCCGGCAGCGGACGGAGGAGGAGAGACAACTTCACCGGGGCTGATCGCTGCGCACAGAGGCGGAGGAGGAGAGCTCGCTCCGGAGCGCAGCGTGCTGAAGCGGACTGTTGGATGAGGCTTGACTGAAACTCTGCTGCTACAGAGAGAGAGAGAGAGAGAGAGAGAGAGAGAGAGAGAGAGAGAGAGAGAGAGAGAGAGAGAGAGCACAGGAAGAGGCGAGAGCTGCGCCAAGGAGGCTGAGCAGGAGGGGAGCGGACACCGGAGCGAAGCTGCTGATGCTGAGGGGAAAGTTACCAAGTGTGGAGATGTTCTGCTAAGTGACACTTTTACAGACTGACCGGACCCTTCAGAGCCACTTCTCTTTAACTGGATGCTGTTTTCAAGCCATCTCAGCGGGCTTTAAAAAAAAGAGAGAGAATTTCCCCCCACACCCCTCATCATCCGGCTGGACCTGATCCCGGTTCCACGGTGGACCATAATAAACAGCTTGGAGCAAAAAGAAGAATATTTTTCACGAGACAGAAAAATGCCCTCACTATACCTCATCTTCTGCCTTCTGGTGACAGGTAAGACGTGTTTTCGGTTTGCTTAGACTTCACTCGCYGCAGGTTTCCGCTGATGGACCGGGGGGACGAGCTGCGCTCCGGTGCTGGCGCTGCRTCAAGCCCGGGTTCAGAGCGCTGCTGCCTGCCTGGTTCCAACCGGGGCGGCTGGTCTGCTGCAGTGCTTCATTTCACTGCTGTTAACTGTCACTAAATGTTTCRTTACGTTTAGGTGGGGGGAGAGTAACTAGCGGAGCAGTGAGGGTTTAAGGTTTGGAGATGGAGTGAATCGTGCCAATGCGTAATTTGGGTTTGTTGTGCAAATGTGAGAGGATCTGTTTTCTGTGGATGTTTTAGGGCTGACCGGTYGGGGTTTACTGAAACCTAAGCTGTGGGGTTAGGGTTAGATTCYGGATGAACGAAGACAATAAATAAAAAATAAAGATAAAAAAATCGGGTTGCTCAGTCTGGATTCGGATGCAGATTGGAGAGCGGCGCAACTCGTGCGAAGCGCTGATGATGCACAGCTCAAACTTAGCCAGCATATCTGCACTCATTTTCATCAAAAATATGACACGTATGTATATTTTTTTACTCTAAAGGGGTGTTTCCCGCGGATCTTTGATCATGAAGTTCAATATTTTCTTCTCATTCAGACAGAAAAGGGGTTTTCTCTGCAGATGGGATGGAGGAACGAGAGGTGGACAAACTGCAACAGTGCGTTTGTTTTTCTTCAGGCAGAGACACAAAGCACCTGTCTCCCCCCACCCCTCTCCCACACCACACACACACACACACA